AAATTGTGCACTCAGATGTTTGGGGTCCCTCAGTTGTAACCTCTCTATTAGGAGAGCGTTGGTTTGTGACTTTTATCGATGGCTTTAGCCAATATACTTGGCTTTATTTGCTCAAACAAAAGTGTGATGTGTTATCTGCATTTAAAGACTTTTATGCCTTGATTTGCAATCAATATAATGCAAGAGTGAAAATATTTCGCTCAGACAATGGAACCGAGTATGTTAATCAGGAGTTTGACTATTTTCTAGCTTCAAATGGCATTATACACCAGACTACATGTGTGAACACTGCTGCTCAAAATGGAGTCGCTGAACGTAAAAATAGACATTTATTGGAGGTTGCTCGGTCCCTCATGTTCACAATGAATGTACCTAAATTTTTTTGGGGCGAGGCCATTAAAACAGCAGCATACTTAATAAACTGCATGCCATCACGGGTTTTGAATTATAAAACACCAATGGAATGCTTAAGTGGTACTAATTCGTTTACTGTACCACCAAAGGTGTTTGGTTGTGTTTGTTTTGTTCATGATTACAGGAACTCGGTGGGAAAGCTTGATCCCCGTGTTGTTCGATGCATCTTTGTTGGGTATTCTTCTACCCAGAAAGGCTATCGTTGTTGGTGCCCTACTGAGAAATGGTTCTTTGTGAGTATGGACGTCACTTTTCGGGAGAAATAACCTTATTACACGTCAGCCATCAGTACTATTGATAGTATTGGTCGTGAGGGGGAGAATTATGATAAGGTGGATGTTCGTATTGGTTCAATTTTGACTCCTTTGCTAGATATATCTCAACCAGATCAAGGAACAGAGGGGGAGGAAAATGCGAGTACTAATGAGGGTAGGAGCAGCTCAACTGTTCATGAGGTATGTGACACTCCTACTTCTCAACAAGTTATACAACATGACAACCCTCTGTCTACAAGTTACAGGTCATTGCCTCTTGATTCAGTGCCGCGTGAAGAAACAGAGGAAGGTAGCGTACATGCTATGGACCCTACTGATTCTCCATTAGTTGATGGTTATATTGATGACACGACTGAGGAAGGTACTGAAATTCCTATTGCAGCTCCTAAATCTCCACCAGATGATTGCCCTATCGCCTTACGAAAACCTGTGAGACATCGAGACGTACCAGCACGTCTTAAGGATTGTGTGGGTTATAAACATGATATTGCTAAATTTATCTCTTATGAAAATCGCAGCCCCTCATTTAAGACTTTCATTGCTTCTTTGGACTCTACCTCTATACCCACAGATTGGAGAGATGCTATTAAACATCCTAAGTGGAAGGAAGCAATGCTGGAGGAAATGAAGGCTTTGGAGAAAAATAACACATGGGAACTCGTAAAACTACCACATGGCAAGGAGCCAGTGGGTTGCAAGTGGGTGTATACGATCAAGCAGAATCCTGATGGCAAGGTGGAGCGATATAAGGCACGTCTAGTGGCAAAGGGATACACACAAACATATGGGATTGATTACGAAGAAACCTTTGCACATGTTGCTAAGATGAGTTCGGTACGAACTTTAATCTCATGTGCATCTAATCTTAGTTGGGATCTTCATCAACTAGATGTGAAAAATGCCTTTCTCCATGGGGACCTTCAAGAAGAAATTTATATGCATATACCACCGGGCTTTGACACTGCTCAGACTAAGGATAAAGTTTTGTGGCTGCATCGATCCTTATATGGATTAAAGCAATCGCCTCGTGCTTGGTTTGATCGTTTTAGGAGATCTTTACTTAAAATGGGCTATCATCAGAATAATGCTGATCACACCTTGTTCTATAAGCGTAATATGAGCAAGTTAGCAATACTGATAGTATATGTTGATGATATCATCATTACAGGAGATGATACTAAGGAAATAGAATACTTGAAGATGCGGCTAGCGAAGGAGTTTGAGGTTAAAGATCTTGGACAATTACGATATTTCCTTGGAATTGAGGTCTCTCGGAGCAAAAAAGGTATTTATCTCTATCAGAGAAAGTATGTTTTAGATTTATTACTAGAAACTGGGCTATCCAAATGTCGTCCAGCTCCCACTCCCATTGAGCAAAATCATCGCCTAGTTAGTGAAGCAGGATCTCCTGTGGATCGAGAGCGCTATCAAAGGCTTGTTGGACGACTGATTTATATCTCACACACTCGTCCTGATATTGCTTTTGCTGTAAGTGTTGTTAGCCAATTTATGCATGATCCACGGACTCGCCACATGGATGCTGTGATCCGAATTATTCGCTATCTTAAGGGATGTCCTGGTCGAGGTCTACTATATACATCACATGGCAATCTACAGGTGGAATGTTATACAGATGCAGATTGGGCAGGCTCTTTGGATGATAGAAGGTCAACATCAGGCTACTGTACATTTGTTGGAGGTAATCTTGTCACATGGCGCAGCAAAAAGCAAAGTGTTGTAGCGCGGTCCACGGCTAAAGCAGAATTTAGATCCATGGCACATGGAGTGTGTGAAGTGTTATGGGTGCGAATCCTTTTGATGGAGCTGGGTTTATTTCAGACTAAACCATTGATGCTATATTGTGGTAATAAGGCAGCCCTTAGTATTGCACAAAATCCTGTGCAACATGATCGAACAAAGCATGTTGAAATTGATCGACATTTTATTAAAGAGAAGTTGGATCAAGGAATTATTTGTATGACATATGCGAGCTCCTCAAACCAACTTGCAGACATCTTGACTAAGGGCTTACCAGATAGAATGTTTTCTATCCTTTGTAGAAAGATGGGGTTATATGATGCATTTACCCCATCTTGAGGGGGAGTGTTGAGTTGTGTAAATGTGTGAATATGTAACAGTTGGGGGGCTAAGATGTAAAAGCGCATATCTATATAGAATACAGAGAAAGAGGAGGCTGGATAAGGCGCTCCAGATTTTTCCCCATTCTAGTTCTTCCTTCTACCATCTTCTAATCCAGATTTGTTGAATATTTCTCTGATTTACAACA